TGGATGCCAAGCTGCTTTCAATCTTTTCTTCAAATTCTTTTAGTAAACTAACGAGGGAAAGGTTCCTAAACGCTACACCAGTTTAACATTTTACCATAGATCCACATTACTTGCATTAAGCACATAAACCTATGGAAAAACAACTTTGGCACTCTGTAACTTTGAACAGAGCATTTGCGAAACGAAAGACTTAACAGAGGTTCATATCTGACCCATTAGAATATTTTGAGGTCAAAAAATTGAAAACTGGTGTAGCGTCCGGGAACCTTCCCTTGTAAGCTAATTCTAAACAAAACTTTGATTACTTTTTTCACTAAATTATTCAGGGAGATCAATTCGAATTTCCTGTTGAAGCATGGGAATCAGTTCAATTCAATGCTAATTTTGAAGGAAATAAAGTGGATAAATTTGTCGTTACTCAATATTTCGTTGAATCGGTAAGTTTGATACTTGAATTTAACCATAAAAGTCCAGCAATTTTATGAAAACGTTAGAAATAATTCTGAGATTTTAGATGAATCATTCCATTTTTTTATCATGTTGACAAACTTCGAAAATTAGCGCACTCACATGTTGTACACTCAACTGCTTTTAATCGGGCTTTATCTAATGATGGAATGTGATGCGTTCTTGAGATATTCTCTTGAGCAGTTATGTTGTTTCCTATTGACTAAGCATTGATAAAATGTAATAATTTTCAAAGTTGACCAGAATTATTTTTTTTGCAAAGATAATTCTTTCATCAGTCATAAACATTTTGATTGAGTTTCCATACCAAGGAAGCCTCTATCAAAAGTTTTATTCAGCCAAATTACTTTTCATGGCTAATAAAAGAAATTCTCGTTTTAGAAAATAATTTTGGTTAAGTTGAAGTTCTGACCATTAATGATACAACCGCAAATGTTCCGACCAGGGCTCGTTGTATTTAACGAAATAAAAGCAATGTGTGCGTGAATCGATAATCAAGCCTTTTCTTTATTCTTAACTTACTTTGTCCACTTCATTTATCACTTGGAATGAATAATTATTTTAATATTTGTCCCTTTAAAGCCAAACAGTGCGATATTTAATGGTTATTCACTTGTAAGAACAATGATTTCCATCTATGAATCAGACTCATCGGTAAGTATTCATTTCCATTCTTATTATTTTCTTGTGGCCATCAAAATAATTTCAATTCTTGCTTTTATTAGAAAAAAAGTTACGTTTTGGCTAAAAGGATCAAAAGAGACTACATGGACTTGCAAACAGTTGAATTTGAATACGAGTTATATGATTATTTTACGCTTAAGGATTGTAAAGACTTGATAAGTGACAGAAAAGCAACACTCAACTTCAAATTAGGATGTGAATGTATATATCGATATTCAATTTAAAATTTTATTCACTTATTCACTTCAATTCACTTTATAGCGTTCAAAAAAACTGACAAATTGATCATAAAAGGTCGAAATAATATTGAATTTTTTCGATTTTTTACTCTGCAAAAAAATCTTAAATTTCTAGTTGGCTAACTGACAAAGCGGCTATTACGTTAAATGGCTAATAAAATATTGAACGGACAATATTTACATCTTAAAATGCTTTAATCGCTAGGTGACAAACATGATTATTGTTCTTTGGCATATTTAAAGCCTTATATAATATTTATTACTACTATTTACAGTATTAATAATTCCTTTCATTGAAATACCTATCAGTTTTTGGATGCTGCTGTATCTCTTGAATCAAGTGATATTGTTAGTGAATCTGAAAACCCCTGATCAATTC